TATTTAAAATAAAAGTCGACATACATTACATGATGCAAAAAGGCGAAATTTAATAAACAATTACCGCTTACAAATTTTTCAGCGGCCTCTAGTTTTTATATTATAAATTTAATATTTAAAAGTAAATATTTTATTTTGCAATTATAACTGGGATGTTTTTAATTTTGTCATTTGTGTGGGAGTAATATTTTAAAATGAGGCCCCCGCTTGCGCTTAATGCGCCTTATGGTGAATGCGGCCGTGTGTGTATCAATAGACTTCAGTTAATTTTCGAAGTTATAAATTAAAACTCAAGTAAGATTTTTAAATTTATAACTTCAAAAATTAACTGAAGTCTATTGATACATATGGTATGTAAAACGTTCGAAATCTTCACATATATGTTTATTCATTGCAAAAAATATTAGTTGTTCCGCATGTTTTGCAGATAAACATGCACGTGTGTCGGTTATAATATTTTCTGCGCAACTAAACACACGTTTAGATGGAACGCTGGTACCTGGTAGTATGAAATATTTTCCGCAATACATAAATTTGGAAAATCTTGAATGATCGTTCCATCAGAGTAGTGGATTCTTTTCTAAATCTGTTATTGGAGATTTGATATAGTATTTCAATTCCGTATCCACCAACTCCTCGAATGTCTCAAATATATGAAGCATCTTCTGCAGATGCAACATGCCAATAATAATCATTGTTGGCTACTTGGTATTTAATAATTTAAATTATTGAAATATTTAATTGAATTAATAAAATGTAAAACAAACGTTCAGATTTATGTAATTAAAATTATTGAACTAATGTGAACAATTTTCTTTTATTTTTTAAGGAGATTCTGGATGTCCATTGGAACCGTGGCTGCTAACTCCGTATTCTGAAGTACAGCCAGGTACACAGGAGAAATATTTTAATCAAAGACACAGTACCACGCGAAATACTGTAGAACGTTTTATTGTCTAAGGAGACATCGTACATTAGAATATACACCACAGATTAATGTTATATAATATTAATATAAAATAATGTTATATTTTCAAAAAATGTAAAATTACTTAAACTATTTAACTTAATAATATAATGTAACTACTTAAAACCTCTAATAAAATATATTATTATAATGAAGAAGCAAACTTTTTGTTGTAACAATATTATTATTCTGCCATATATATCAAATCTGCATTCACAAACTGTTTAATATAAGCAATATCTGTAACTGCAATATCTGTAACAGTATCTGTCAATTTTTGTACTGCTTTCGTTTGCATCTGCATTTCATGTAGTATCTGTGCATCGATATCTAAAATAAAAGAACAAAAATAAAAGAACATTTACAAAAGAAGATTATATGTAATTTTATTTAAATTTAAAAGAAGTTAAAATATATTTTCCAGACAACATGTATGTGTGTGTGTGTCTAAAAGATCTATGTGACAATATCTTTTACAAGTATCTTTTAGACAAGCGTATTGTCTGGATAATTTTCACTTTTATTACATTTTTTAAACAAACTTCGTGGTCTTTTTAATTTTCTTACCACGAAGGTCTGCAGTCTTTTGCCTTTTCAGGCACTTTCTTTGGGATTCGGATATCGGTGAAGACGAATGCATCAATGTTTCTTGATGTTCGTTATTATTTGTATTTAAATTAAGAGATAAATGTACTTCAAATAATAAAGTTATGAATGTTGTCTGTGGAGTATATTGTTGCAAAACAGTATCTCCTTGATGAGACAGATGGATGAGTGAGGTTCGAAAATGTATGCGTGTGAATGTGCATGCGAGCGTGCGCGCGTACGCGCGTATGTACGCGCATGAAAAACGAGCGACGTGTGACACAAGATCACGCGCCGCAAAATAATTTCTCTCGTTCTTTCCATGGCAAAAAAATGACAGAGCGCTATCATTTCCACATCACCTTGCGGTAGATAGCATGGTGCGTTTTTTTATTGTGGTTCAGACATACGTACAAAAAATACATTTCTCTGTATCGTTAGAAGATTTCGTTTTGATAAAAAAATGAGGGACAATCATATCTCAGAGTGGGGGTTCAGCACCACGGCCGCTCATGCATAGTCATTGCAGCAAACAACTCCCCGCGCGCTTAGCGACCATGATCGCTGAGCGATCGTATCTCGCCGTGCGCTTGCATTCGGCGATCTTTAGTAATTAATAACTCGTTAATTGTTGCAAAAATTGCAAAATAATACAGAACTTTTCGACTCAGTTTAGTCCGCTTTACTTGCACATGAGCGCTTTGTCAAAATTATAGGGATACCCTGTATATATTATTTTTTATAGAATTTTCTAAACAATTTCATTTAAAAAATTAATTATTGCAAATGTCAAAAAAAAATTATTATGTTAGACAACGATATATTATTCAAATTTAAAGCAAAATATTTAATGTTAATCTATAATATTTGCTAAAATTAATTTTGATTTCAAAAGGCTAAAGAAGAACCTTATTATAACTTTTATCGATTAAATACATGTGTCAATAAAAATCTATCTATATAAATAATGTCTAAGTTATTTCTCGACAGCCACATGCAAATTTAATGCTATTCCTTATATTTTTTAAAGTAAAGCTTTAATTTTACCAATACTGCACCGCAATCGACGTGCAGCGCGTAAGCAAAGGTCAAGCGCCGAACGCGAGAAAGCACGCATAAGGGCCGTTTACATGCTAAACGAGAAGAACACAGCGACGATGACGATTTCTCGGATGCTGAGGAATTACTATATGGTCCAGGAATAGCTGATTAGGAATAAGATAATTATTCATTTTCTTTATTTATAAATTATCAACAATTAAAACTTTAAACGCGTTGTTCTCAAAACAACTTTTTTTAACCGCATTGACAGCAAATCAAAACAATTGTGCATCCGATTAATATGACTATATGGTCGCATTTTGTTCAGAAAACCCGTTTCTTTTTCTACTCGACGTAAGATTTTTTAAATTAAAGGTTTCCTTCTATTTTTTAATCAATAAAAAAGCTTAATTTTTTCGCGAAATTAAAAAATTTTTTTTTAAAGATCAGCCATTTTGTCATTTTTTATATAATAATTTATTCCTACGTCGGATAATAGTCGTCGATATCTAGGTTGTAAATATTTTTGCCTTTTTGATTTTAGGTGAACCGTATGGCCGAATTGCTATCAACGTGACAGCGATAATTTTTTGCAGCTCTTACTTGGGGACCGTGTACAGCGAAGATATACGCTTCAAATCAAATTAAAAAATTTTTCGATTTTCTAAAATGTTCAATAAAATATTGTCAGAGTTTCAAAAAGATCCATTGTATAGTTTCTTTGTAAAAAATTCCCAAAAATATCTATACTTTTCGGACCGTTCCAGTGGCGTCCTCCTTAACCATCGTTATAGTTAGTTATTTTAAACAATTAGGCAAAGAGGATTGTCATATAGTAGTTTAGGATTTTGTCAGTCAAAAAGAATATGAAATAGAACGTGATCTTAAGTATAGAATGCGGAATAAAATTAAATAATGAAATTTTTAAGGATTCAGCTGTATGTTCAAAAATTTCTTTTGGAAGAACGAAAGTGCAATGTGTTGTAAAAAATGTGCTTTGCCTTAAATCTATCAAACTAATATTGGAAGAAATGCAAAATTTGTCATATTCTATTTCAATACATGCGAGAAATAAAGAAAATGAAAAATTCTTTCCGTTTGTAGTTTGTTATTTCTACAAGGAAAAAGGACTGCGACATAAGAATATAGATTTCTACCAAAATGCTAATAAAAATTCTGAAGCAATATCTAAAAAAATAAAATTATGTATTGAAAAAAATAATTTGAATATGAAAAATTTTTATTATTAAATGGAGCCAATAATGCCTCTGTTACTTATGGAAAAAATATTTTTGTATATCAAAATTTAAAGTCATAAATAATAATTTAATTAAAGGTAATTACCAGCGTCATATTTTGCATAATACAGAAAGGCGTGCAATAAAAGTCTCATTGTATGATGTAAAAAATTTAGTTGCAAAAATTTATGCAGAATTTAGCAACAGTTCTAAAAAAGTGGAAGAATCATATTTTGATTTTGTGCAATTGTAGTATGAAAAAATATTAAAATATTCACAAATAAGATGGTTATTATTCCAAGCTATTGAACGACCGCTTTCCTTTTGACCTGCGATAAAAACATATTTTAAACAAAGTAGGCGAAGAGGATTGTCATAAAGTAGTTTAGGATTGTGTCAGTCGAGAAGAACGTGGAATAGAGCGTAATCTGAAAACTATTTTATATCCAGAATATATTTATATTTTGTACATCATTATGTAAATCTAATGACAAAATCTTTGCCGTCAAATGAAAGTAACAATGTTACATGTATTAAATTAGATGCAATCCCTGGTAGAAAAATCACCATGGTGCTAGGCTGGCGCTAACTTACTTGTCCCACTGCCTGATAAGGAGCTAGTATGGCATGCAGACTAGCGCCAGACATAAAATCATCACATTCTTCCAGTTTAATACCCGATTTAATCGACTAGTCAGGCGTTAGCTAGCTCTAGTGTAGTGCTATCTAGCCGTGGTGTGGCGCACGGTAGTTCTGATGTTGTACTATCTAGCCATGATGTGGCGATAGCTAGTTCTCACGCAGTTCTTATTTTTATAATCGACATCCAGACGTTAAAAATAAAATTTAATATTTTTCATTAAAAATATATATAACAAAATATAAAATATTTAATTTTCGATAATTCTCTCTTAATATTTTTACATACACATGTCCGTATAGAATTTGACGTTGCTAATGTTCGGAAAAGATCTAAATGTTCACAGAAAATGATATTCAATAGAAACTCAATGTTTTATATCCAAAATTATATTAACATAAATTTTTTAAGCACTGTTAATCTGGACATTTAAATATGGAAGTTATATGAAAGTATTAATATGTTAAAACATTGAACAAAATTGTTTCAACTATTGTGTGAACTTTTTATTCTATATGGAATAATAAAATGAGAAATACAATTAAGGAATAATTTAAGAATAATTTTAAAAAATTAACAACTTGAAAAGACAGTTATTAGGCGTTTAGAGTTTGGTTTTTAATTCGATCCTTTCGGTGTCCCTCCCAGTCTTTTGCATTCGACAAAGTATTGCTGATTGTCTTCAAAATGTGGGATTCTTTAATATATTCTCCCTTTATATTTAATCCGATATATATGTCTGAAATAATTGTAAATAGAATAATAAATTATGCACATACACGGTATGAGTTCAGTTACTTACTGATAATAATTAAATAATATAGTTATTTACCTTCAATATACTGATACAGACGAGTTCTTTTGAAAACTTTTTTCCCGTTTATCTCTTTAATTGCCGTGTATTTTAATGCAATCTCTCTTGACATAATTATTTTTAATTTGTTGCTAATGTTTTTCGATAATGTTTGATCTACATCGATGTACTGACGTAAATAAGCACACTGAAAATATAAACATAGAAATTGTTAGACTATGCAAAACACTATCAAAGAACTGTTATTATATTTTACATACACACACACACGCACACATACTACACACATTTTAATTATACTTATACCAGATTTATTATACTTATACCAGAAGCACTTACAAATTCAGAACAAAAATTTTCCATTTTTAATTTTGTGTTAAATTACAAGCAGCCGTTTGATTAATCAGAACACTTTTTATATTTTTTTATATCAAATGCGATATTTTCTACTTTTGAAAGTAGCAAATTTATTTCTGTAAATAAAAATTTATTTTAAAAAATTTCGAAACATATATACATAAAAAATTATATATA